CCCCCCCCCCCCCCCCCCCCCCCCCCCCCCCCCCCCCCCCCCCCCCCCCCCCCCCCCCCCCCCCCCCCCCCCAGCGGTCCAAATTTCTACCTTATATACTTCAACACTCCTTTCAGATCGTGTTTCACAAAAATAAAATTTAAAAAAAAAACGCAAAAACTTTGTTGCTAGCCTAATAAAATTTCAAAACAAGCATAGTTGGCAAGGCGCAATTGCTCTCAAGAGTAATCCACGCTAGATTTTTGGAACCTACTATTTGACGCATATAGAGGCAGAATTAATAAGGCCCTGCAATATGTTAACATTTAGCAGACATAGACGAGACTATTATTTCCAAGCAGAACGCTTGAAACTTTTTACCGCAAATTTCTGCTGCATCAATTAAGTCACTTCTGATATGATGGATTTTCAAAATATTTTCTAGCTCTGATGGAATATCATACAAATAAAATTTAAGATTCAATATAAAAGCTTGTTAGCGCAGCCCAATTGCGACTAAAATGTGGAACCCACATATATCCCTTAGGCTTACTAAAATAATTCCAAATAGCTCATATGAAAAATCTACCTGAATTTTCAAAATCTATAATTAGGTCATTATCTATTTTCTTATGTCTGTGATAGAGTATTAATTGTTAGCTGGTGTAACGATAAATATGGCCCTTGCTGGTTGGGTTGATATATTAAGACAAACTGGATAGAGGTGGAGTAGCTTACCGCCACTCTCGGCAATGATGTTTATTCGCTACTTCACATATCCAGAGTGTAACAAATTTATACATAATACACGCATATATAGGAGAGAGATATAAGAGAGAGACATGAAAGAGATATATTATAACAATGGAAAGAGAACAGAAAGAGGAGGAAGGAGAATCATCTAAGCGTGCCATCAATATCGGCATAGCTGGTATCTTTGACAATGACAGATACCAGTTGCTATGGTCTGTAATAGTACCGTAAGCTGGTTACTAAGGTCTGTAATGGTACCTTAAGCTGGTTGTTATGGTCTGTAATGGTACATTAAACTAGTTACTATGTTTTGGAATGGGCAAAAATTGCTTTTTTTCTTGTAGTGTGTAATCAAAAATAGAATGAATAGCAGCCTGATTAGTCAAGCTCCTAATTAGCACAATTTTTAACTCATTAATGTCTATAATGGGGAGGGGAGCCGCAAAATCTCGATTCTAAACTTACACTCACCATTTTTTCGAAAATATATGTGCGCTCCACAAAGCAATGACTTAGCTACTTTATTTTTGAATTGTCATGAACCTAAACTCACTGAAAAGTTATCTATACTGCGTATTTTAACCATGCCATTTAAATTTTATATTTTCGAGGTTTATAGACGGGTTCGTATCAGAGATCGAAACGAATAACAAAAATACCATTCCGTCTGATTCTGCTTTCCCGGTGTTGAAAACCGGAACCGAATGGAATGAAAACGCAATAGTTTAGCATCTATTAAAGACTGGCAAAGGGATTTCTGCATGCATTTCTCTCATTTAGTGTAACATCCTGATGAATAACGGTAGGCTAACTGTTTTTTCACTTTTAATCAACTAGAAATGCGATAAAAAATTGTAATATTTGTCTATGAAAATAATTTCACTCCGAAATACAGCACAACACATATATAAAAACATTATTATGATAAAAATTATACGCAAATAGCAAGTGTCAATCTGCTTTCGATCATTGTCTGAGAAAACTTTATATTGTTAGAATTCCTTGTCTTATGGTGCAAGACTAAGTGAGTCGCTATCCGAGGATTGTCACGTCTTTCACCAAGCCGTTAATAAAAAAAATAGAACTCGTAAAATACATTACCAAACAGGCATATTAAAAAACAGCGGAAATGATCACAATCAAGTTAATTGAAAAATATAAAATATGGCCTTTACAATGCACTCCTTTTCACTATCGTAAGGTATCATACCGTGGCTGTATTCGTTGGAATGTAGTGGCTAGGCGAATATACAGTATTTGCGTACGAGCTGCCCGGCATCCTTTAGTTGCACGTATCTGGCCAAATACTACTGAAACGATCGGTTGCTTGTTTTGGTAATTGGAACTGTAAAATGTGCAAAGTGATCAGAAGTGCATGTTTTTGCGTTTTTTCTCTTACATACTACACTTAATTCAATATGTTGCTCTTGCTTTATTGTTGCTTGATTGTGTTGTTTCTGATGATTTACATCAGAAACATGTAAAATGCATATTTACTTGTGCGTAGAATACATGCAATTGTTTACCGACCGATTTTTTAACAGTTTCATCAGGATTTAAACAGGCTCAACAAGAGTAGTTGTCACTAGAGAAATAAAAAAAGCATGAGCATAAATGAAAGAGAAAAATAGTTATTCACAATGGTTCCATAATCAAATATTTAGTAGTTACTGGAAATCACATTTTTTTGTATACACATAGGTTCTCAATGATTTTTGATCATTTTCTATGATCGCGAATGATTTTCAATCATTTCAATATCTTCTTTCATTTCGTCGAAGTCACGCGAGACTTGTGAAAATCATCAAGCAACTGTCTTTCTTTCACGCCAGCACGTATTGATCTTACTGCTTGGTGATCAAACGGTGGTTCGAAGAACATGGTATCACACTTAATATGGACACTAGTTATATCTATCTGCACCATCATCCTCAGAAAATGAAATTGGCTTCCAAATTAGTGTATGATATCGCAAACTTAAATTCTACTAAATTAAGTCTAGATATAACCAGTATAGTTTCAAAACTTGTCGAGAGTATGAACATTAGAAGCATTTGACTTGAAATGATTATTCAAAGTACTTTATACCTGGAAATTGCACGATCGAAGCCTTGAAAGTCTCACAGACAGGACCTCAAATCAATGAATAAATGAATATATAAATTGATTATCAGGATTCATTGGGAGATGGAAGCAACATAGTGTAAAACGTTGTTAAAAGTGCTATAAGTCATAGTTTTATACTTCTCCTATTTGTTTTTCAAAATTTTGCCTAACTTATATTTTATAATCGATAAATAGTGGACTACATTCCAAATCGCTATCGTTCATTGCTCAACATACGATTGTGTAGAGCTCATATGTTTCCAAAGAAGATGCTAAGTGTGAATTTTACGGCAAGGTTTTATGATACCCAGTCTCAATTACAGACATTGGCAACCAATATAATGTATCACCATACACGCTATAAAATTGACAGGCCGTTGCCAGCGACTTTTCTCTTACACTGATTTTTACATTAGTTTAGTGAGACAAATGATATATGTGAGTTTCATATTTTCGCTCGGAAATAATGACACTCGTTAGTTTGTTATTAAGCGCCCTTAGTGAAAGTACTCGCCCAACGAGTACGACTTTGCAGCATGAGTACTCAGACTATTCGAATGAGTACTCGATGCATTTTCTGTGTAGCAATGCTTTTCGCGTACTATGGCGAGTACTTCAATGAGTTTTCTCCCTAAGAATTACTCGCACACGAAAATACGAGTACTCGAGGTTGTACTGTCGTCGTTTTTCCTAACGCTTTCAGCAAAACATCTATGTAGTAGGATGCATGAAAATAAACTAATATTGCATAATTAAGAACAACTGTATAGTGAACCGAAATTTGGGAAAAAAACTCTTTAAACAAATTATCGATTTCATCCTCCATATTTTGTGATGAGTCATTCATATGCCGTAGTCAATTGGCTATTTAAAGAATAGAACTAGATGGTGTTCGAGTTTCACTCGAAAACGAAACGCGGTGCGAAGCACGACGTACGAGTTAGCATAAAGCCTATCTCATAGAATAAAAATGAGCAAATTTTTGCATGATCGGTAGTCAATTAGTTAGTTCCTAACAATTTTACACTGTTTGAAAAATATCCGTCTGCTTCGCATATTGTCAAGCGAAAAAATCATAATGTGTTTGATCAGATGACTAATGCCAAGACTATGTGAAAAATGGTAATAATAAAATTCATCACTATGGTGAAAAAAACTATCATTCTTTAGAGCTATTTCGATATAATGCCTCGTGATAACTAGGTGAGGATGACCCTAGTGAAGGCACTCATAGGGTAGTACTCAAAAAGTACTCACGCTAGAAAATGCCACAAGTACTCATGAGTACTCATGAGGTTTGAGTACTCATCGGTAGTACTCGAGCTAGATTTTGACTGGTTGAGTACGACTACTGAGTACTCGTCTCATAAAACTGAGTTTTCTATGAGTACTACCCACGTACCTTCCGAGCACTCTGGTAGCTTTTTACAAGATTTACTCACTCATCTATACTTTGTTCACTATATTTTAATAATACTAAATGAACTCTATTTCGTTAACCTATCAACAATAGTATATTAGTGCAATGAAATGGTTTATAATACTAAGATATTTCATTATTTTATTGTCTAAAAATTACACAAATAAATGTTATGTTTCATAAAACAGCACTTAACACATATATTGAAGATAATAAAATATTATTGAAGACAAATGAATTCTCAATGTTTTCGAAAAAGATATTTGATCACCATGAATTCACAGATACAAAAACTACAGAAAAAAGAATACTAAAATTTGTTACAATACAGTATACTCAGTAGCACGAACAATTAATATAAAAATTATTAAATGGATTTTTGATCCGATTCGTGTATGAAAACAAATTTATGTTAAAGCGATCCTTATACAAAAAAAAGAAACTTCATGACATGAATCATTGATGCTATATTTAGTAACCAGAAAAAAATCTTAACTAATCTGAAATAAAATTTAATCTGAAATTTAGAAATTAAAAGTTATCAAATTATTGTTACATTGAAAATAGATACTTGGTTTTATTCGAAAAACGAGCAGTTGAAAATGATAAGTGTCTGTCTCTCTTTCTGTTCACAAAGTGAAATATAGCTGCTTTGATATGTCCAATCGTTGTATGGACAAAAAGGAATCATCTATTAAAACTGAAGAATAGAATGAACATATCCACGAAATTTGTTTTTGATTTTTTTTAATTGATTTCATCACATTTTGTTTTTATACAATGTAATTTAACTTTTTACATGTTAGTGCATTGGTGTTTTGTCGAAACACAGAAGCGAGTACTACTTTGAGTACTCAGACTATCGTAGGCGAGTGAATTTCAGAAAGTTAACTTATGCGAGTACTCACTTGAGTACACGAGCATTAAAGATACACAGAAAATTTCACGAGTACTCCAACGAGTCTTTTGTGTACGCATGCTGGCAGTTCGTACTCGCTTGACGAATAGTTTCACTAGGGGAGTCGATTAGTCGAACTAAGTGAGGTATTAAAAGAATCAAAACATGTAATGATTCTAAACAGATTCAAACTAAGTGACTTTTTTTCTAAAGGCGAATATAAGGTTTTGACCAAAAGATGGGATATATGTAGGGTTATAGAGAACGAATTCCTCTATCTCGTGGTATATATATTATTGAATTATTTCGTGCACCGTGTGAGAAAACTGAAATTAAAAAACTAAAAAATTCAAATTTTTTATATAGACCCCCCATATAAGAATCTAAATCCTGTTCGATAAACGCAGAACCTGATCTAATAGGGTGTATATCATTCGACTACCGACAACGCCTACTTGCATATTCTATTTCATTTTCCTTCATATGTGAGTAATGATGTGGCCTATCAAAGTTCAAACAAAATTTTTCACATATTTCTTAATAGTGCTACCTAAAACAGTATTTATAGCCTCGTGTTTGTCAACCTGAAATGTAATTAAAATATACAGAATTGTAGAGATTTTTTTTTCTACAGAATGGTATATAGAGTACTCAAATGATAATTTATTTGTAAAGTCTATTCATGTTTTATTGAGACATGATGATACATATCAGAGCATGATTTGTACAGAGATGATTATTTTCATTAGAAAGAAACTTAGGGTATTTAGAATCTATGCCTATAATATGAAGTTCGATTAAGGTTAAGGCAATCAAGGAAATCTTGGTTGTGCCAAATGCATTATTAAACATTATGATTTCATCAGAAATACAACATTGTTAATGCTCCATAATAAATATCGGAGTATTAAGGAGCTGTATAAGTCATATATCGGATTTTATCGAAAATAAGTATATCGTTTCATCTATTGGATAACAAAGCACATTATACTTTTCGAATATAGCTGAACGTTTCAGAAAATTCTACAATATTCGTGACCGTCGCCACACTCTCTCTCTCTATATATATATGTATATATTTTTATTTATTTATTCCTTCTTAGCGTAATATCTACATTTATCGATAAACTGTTATCATAAAAAAAGATCCATTGCGTAAATATTTTATAATTTTCCTATTACGTCATATTGCCTCTAGCCGATATATTAAATTGTGACTAAGTATTATATGTGTACACTTCCTACTGGGTCTTGTATTGGATGTAATACAGATTTGTTTCGGGGTGGTGCTGAACAGCGGTCATGAACAAGAAACAAAAAAACTATAACAATAAAAACAAGAATATCACGTCTTGTTTTTGATGATTATCATATTATTTTGCGACATCATCATAGTTTATGTTCCGATTGCATTACGCTCGATGTTTCTCAATGGATTACCAATATCAAAGATTCATCGGTTGAAATAAACAGATCAATATCTAGTCTATTATCAAAGAAACTGAAACCCAAAAACAAAAGAGTATTGCTACCTGTCAAGTTTGAAGAGATGAAGGAAGATGAATGCAAAATATTTTGCAGACTTTCGAAACAACAGATACTGACAACAGCATCAATAATCAACTCCTCGAACCGAAATGCTTTCATATTTTTTACCATTATGTTTCGTGGAACTAGTCAGACATTTACAGGTACTTTATTCGGATGAAATCAACCAAGAATATCACAGATATTTCAAGAAACCGTCAAGAAAATGTCAGAGGTTTTTGTGCCATTGTATATAGGATCTCAAGCTTTTCAACGACATGACATTATTCACGTTCATTCTCCAGAATCGGTGAAAGTGCTGTTACCGAATGTTGTTGCTATGATATATTCTACATATGTGTATGTGCAAAAGTCTTGGAATTTTAATAATCAAAAAAAAAGTTATTGCCAGCATAAGGCCGACAATTTGGTAAAAGTGATGGCTATTGTGTTGCTCGACGGCAAATGGTTCGATATTTACGGTCCATATTTCTCAGACGGATACAATAACGACGAACTCATATGGAATACTCTCAGCGATGATAAAGTAGAAGATTATGAAAATAAAGATTTATTTGCGCATAGTCAGCAGCTTCATGCAATATTCTCCAAAAATGGCATGTTTATCGGAGACCGCGGTTTTGTAAGATGTAAAGGAGAATGGAGCTTATATACACCTGATTCAATATGTAAAGGTGAAGCACAATTGTCAACTATAAAAGCAAATCAAACAAGGTTTATAACTAGAGTTCGTAATGCTATTGAACGAGGTTTTGTAAGATTAAAACAATGGAATTTTATTGGTTCTGTTGTAAATACTGATATTATACCTGTTATTGGTTCAATAATGAGAATACTATGTACTGTTGGCAATGCTTACTTTTCTAATTTGGTGCTAGATAATAATGACGCTCTTGAACACGCTCAATATACAATAAGAAATATACAATTAGAGAATGAAGTTGAACACATGGAAGCCAATACAACTGGTTGGAAAAAAGCCAACATAAACGATATATCAAGTATTATTACGTCCTACGACGAGAATGATGTAAAGCAATGCAATGGTGAATATTCGGTAAGAATAGCACATGCATAGTTAGGACATATTCAATAAGAGTGGCCAACTTACATCCATCCTGATTTTCCATCAACAGTTAAAATAAAAAATAATATATCAAGATACAAGACAACGGACAATCCAAAAAAACATACTGTATGGATACGGTTTGGTCATAATAAACTTGACGATATTGCTTTTTATTGCACTTGCAAAAGTGGTTTGCGTACTGCAGGTGGTACTTGTACTTACGTAACCGCAGTATTAATCGCTTTAATTCATTGGAAAAGTAATAAAAAAATACCAAGTTTTTATACAACAGCTGCAGCATTATTTTTGAATGCTTTGGATTGTACCACATACAAGGAGAGCAAAATGAAACAAGAATCAGAAGAATACAGCGGAGCAAGTAGTGATACTAAAAACCAAACAACATCAATAAGTCAAGGAACAGCAAGTACTGATACTGAAGTAACAGATGAAGAATGTACCAGTAGCGAAATATCCGATGAAGACTCTATGGACTCTCAGACAGCTGATCTAAAATTCACAAGCAGTGAAACGAGCGATGAGGATGCAAGATATGAATTGTATACTGATGAAACAAAGTGAAGAAATGATAGCCGTGGGAAATGTTTCAAAAGATCAATTTAATCTTTGGAATATTTCAAAAACGACAAGAACTGTTGACTTCTATTATCCCTTCATGATGCTTTCTAACTTGTAGGATTCTGGCTTTTCTCGGGAGCTTTTTTCTATAGGCACCTGAGTCTCATTTCAAATTCGTTTACAAATTTGTTTACGGCGCTTCTTCAAGAAATAAGAATAAAATAATTCTCATGGAATTATAAATATCATGATCTGATATGTATCATCATGTCTCAATAAAACATGAATAGACTTTACAAATAAATTATCATTTGAGTACTCTATATACCATTCTGTAGAAAAAAAAATCGCTACAATTCTGTATATTTTAATTACATTTCAGGTTGACAAACACGAGGCTATAAATACTGTTTTAGGCAGCACTATTAAGAAATATGTGAAAAATTTTGTTTGAACTTTGATAGGCCACATCATTACTCACATATGAAGGAAAATGAAATAGAATATGCAAGTAGGCGTTGTCGGTAGTCGAATGATATACACCCTATTAGATCAGGTTCTGCGTTTATCGAACAGGATTTAGATTCTTATATGGGGGGTCTATATAAAAAATTTGAATTTTTTAGTTTTTTAATTTCAGTTTTCTCACACGGTGCACGAAATAATTCAATAATATATATACCACGAGATAGAGGAATTCGTCCTCTATAACCCTACATATATCCCATCTTTTGGTCGAAAATTCACATGTAACTTGTAATCGCTTTTTGTACGGTCATCCTTAAAATTAGTTTCCTATACGTATATGAAAGTTACCAGAGTCAAACCATTTTCGATTGGAAACAAGCTTAGTCTTTACTTATGTTAGATGACTTTTATACCTATTAACTCGGTAAAATATTTTGCACAGATTTAATGCGCATTAAACTAATAGATCTAGCTGGCACTGTGCAAATCGAACTGTTATTTTTCTTACACTAAATCCATTTCACTGCATGAAAAAATGTGCTCATACCAGAAATAAAAGACAAAAATAAACATTAAACCTCTTGGAAATCGAATGAACCTTTTCACCAACATTGATTCATCGTACTCGTACTACATCTATCCTATATGTTTTGAATTTTTCCATGGAACAAACTTGTATCCTCGGTATCTGCAATGTATCGTGCGTATTGCAAGGATCGGATGGATCCCCACCGTATCCTCTCGATTGTGTGGATTGCGCCGCCTCCGGGATAGACGGAATCCGCTTTTCCTCCTTGACTCAAACCCACGAGTACTCATGAGTTCTCGCGGCATTTTCTAGCGTGAGTATTTTTTGAGTACTCGCTGGGTAAGTACATTCGCTAAGGCGGGCATCTAAATAATTTCACTTAAAGAGGAACGAAAAAAATGAAAAGAAAGAAAAAATTATAGTTGTCGATTTCGTAAATAACTTTTATTTTCTTATATTGACCGTTGAGCGGGTGGCAAGACAAAATAGATGACTAATCAAACAGTTATATATTTGTGATGTTTCTTTTTAAATAAAATATCCAATTCAGATTCATGTATAATCTATTTCTTTGTAAAACGCCTATTATGATGACGCTCGACATCTGGAACTGAGGTGGCTGCGTTTAGGAGGGGAAAGTCTAGTAAAGATTGAGTATTCAGTGGTGTTCCGGATTGATCATGAGAAATAAACGAATAGCGAGATACTGGGTTCCGTTTTCTCTCTATGCATGTTCCATTTCGTCTATGTTGGTTTTCGTGTCGTAAACAGGTGCGTTGAGTCCCTGAGTGAGATCTTGAACAGTTGAGACATACCATTCTCGAAGATTGCGCTTCCATCGTCGGTAACCATTCACGTTCTCTGTGGTTTTCTATCGATGAATGATAAAACTCATTTGGTGTCAGTAAACAACCGTCCTGGAAGAGAAAATCACAGATATTGGATAAACCAAGAAAGTTCTCAAACGGTTTCTGTAAGTGTTCCAACAGTCTTGCGAGATATCTTTCGTATTTTATATATGGAAGAGTGAAAATGTTTTTGAATTATTTGAAAGCTGTTGTAGTAAAATTTCTCAAAAGAAGTATGTGAATTTCTATTCATTTCAAAATTGATTTTTTTAAGAACCCATTTCGATCCAACAAGTAACTAACTTTGATTAGTTCAATGACTATTCTTGCGATATTTATTGCATCATCCAAGCCAGAATGTAAATGACCTTCTAGTCGAAGTCCTAATTGTTCTAACATGTTGCGGATACCTTGTTTAAGAATAAAATACAAATCATAGAAAAAATTGATGCACTTTCAACTCACGACCGGATCTTGTCGAATAAAATTTTGAAAACGTAGTTTTGACATTAACCCATCTATGCGCCCACATTGGATAAACTATATTAGTAATGTTGCATTGCATACGTAAATATTTGTTAAAATCTGATGGACTATACAAATATGAAGAGAAACAAATTATATTCAATTCTTATTTCAAATAAAGCCAGTGGTAGACGTCATTTTGCATACCTATCCGTGACAAATAGATATTTCCTCTTTTGAAATGGTAACAATTCTCTGCCATTAAGCCATTTCTCAGCATTTGCAAATACCTCAGCAAATACAGGTGCACTATTGACTTGTTCCTAAATTGATTAGAATGAGTATATGAATTGTGTACAATACCTATCGTTTTAGAATGGCTAACTTGTGTTATTCGAGTCAATTTTTTACAATAATCTGACAAAATTGGATGTATGATCGGTCGACAATATGAATGAAAAGTGTCAATCTAGTAAGATTAAGCATAATATACATATTTAAAGTAGTCAATGGTCATATGAATAATTATGTTATATTTTTTTACAATTCTCCGTTGTGTGACATCAATTAAAACAATCGGAAATTCAATAATTTCTTGAACATAATGCTGTGGTGGGGGTGGATTTTCCATACATGTAGCTTCAAAATCTATGATAGCCAAAAACTCGTACGATTGCTGTATCACTTCTTTGGTACTGCAGTCGACATTTTGTTTCAATCGTTTTTTCAAAATGTGAGTATCACCGCTTCAAAATAAAATACAACTGATATTAACTTCTCTTACATCGGAACAAACCTTGTTGATAAGTTTCTTTTTTCTAATTCGATGACAAGGGTACGGCGTGGAAATTGATTAATTTCTTGTTCCGACATGTTTAGCACTGTAAACTGTTGCGAATCACCACATAGAGAAATTGACAACAATAAGGTATAATATATCATTTCTATGAAATGTGTCTCACCGGGCTATTCCAACTGTTGCCAGAATCAACTTGTGCAAATGATGCCATTATTTCGAATACAGGAAACAAACGAAGTTGATAAAATATAATGATGGACTCACTTATCTAAAATATATACTAGAATACTAAGTTACACTGATGTATATTACGCGTGAAACAGTGAACGGCGGTGCACAACACCGCATGGCAGTGCTATAAAAACTTGAATTGCGCAAAACTTTTTGTCGATTAGTATAAAATCAGGATGGACAAATCTTGAACTTTTCAAGCTTAAAGTTAAGCTGTTGACAAATTTATCAACATAATCTGAAGACACATGATCGTTCTTTAACGTGTCAGATTCTACCAGATAGGTTAAATAGTATGTATGCAGGAAAAGCATTACAAAACCCTCTATGTCACAGGATTACGTAATTTAGCTTTATAGGGAATATTGAGTGAAAATTATGAGGTTCTATGGTATACTACATTTGTGTCTACTAAGGGTATCGGTTCAACGAATGAGAGGTTTGCTGCAGCATATATGCGCATCAAATAGCCGGGTAGTTCAGAAAATAGCATGTTTTTATTTGAACCAAGAGTTATCGTGCAATGTCATTATTTATCTCTCTTGAACGACATTTCGGAGTAGAAACAAACCACAAATTGATGTTTAGACACGAGATCGAAACATTATTTGCATTATCTTTATTATTTTGTAACATACGATTTAATCCAAAAGTGAAATGACTTACACGAATTATGTGAATGTAACGCACAATAAAATCTGTGTTTACCTTGAATCGAATGTCATTGGCTATTGTGTTGCGACTACGAACATTTGTGTTTAAATACAAGCTGTGAAACCATGTAGTCATTCATTCTTTTTTGGCAACATGCACATAATTCTATGCAACTTTTGATAGAAAAAAATATGTTGCGTTGCTCTTTCGTAATTATGGCACGACCAAATTGTTGCTGCTGAGTGGGTTTATTTTCACCAAAACGTGAATGCTGTCACGATTTTTGATGAAATTATGTGTAAGAATGTAAGAAAACAAAATAATTTCTTTCTTTAGCTCCTCCTCTGAATTTCCTCTTTGTATGCACTGAGAAATGTAATTATAATTATAAATCAGTGAGTATGTAACCGCTATAAGTTTTGCATCATTGTTAACGTAAAACTTTTACGAATTTTTGAATGTTTCGTCGATCTTCACCGTTTTTTAAAATTTTCTTGTGCTCCTATATCTTTTTTGGACGTTAGCTTTAATCATGGCGCGTATTGAAGGCAAATATTTTTACTTTTTAAAGACATTAGATTTTGTTCTTTCTGCAAAACTTAAACGTATGTAAAAAATTCCTTCAGTCACCTATTTGTGTCACTGAATGAAAGAATGCAGAAAACATGATAGGTTTTCAATCCTTACTGTTAACAAAAATAAATTGATTCCTTTAAATTTTTAATAGGAACTGATCAATCGTTTAAACTCTACGTCGTACTATTGAGAATAGTTGACCGATTATCGTTTTTGTAGGATTTTAGCGAAACGGTAATTCTAAAAACAGCAAGTTTGCATTTTTTATCTTTTTAATACACAAAAATTGATCCTTTTGTAGTTTTTATGTGAGTTATGACTTATCTTTGAGTCTTATCTTCATCCTCATCGTCGGTGGTAGCAATGACTCCTCGTAAGACTAGAGTGTAGCAATCTTCACAGTGCTGCTCTTTCTAATATGTCTATCATTATCGGAAAATATCATCTGTGCATAATGTATAAAGCGAGTTTGACTTTTACTGAGGTATCCATCTGAAACGATATGGCTGGCAGCAGCAACACTATTGATAGAATGTGGCTAAAATATGAGAGATATGATAATTAAGAAGTTGTATTATAGAGTTTTGTCGGCTCTTGACTTCTGCCTCTTACAAATGAAACAACATATTTGTTCCAAAAATATTTAGGCATCAATGCGAATCAAAATAGCAACTAGGATATAAGACATTGTTGTTTAGAGATATTACCAGTCGATTTAAAACTAATAGACCTCAGTTTGATGCAAAATATAAAATCAATAAGATGCAACTAATAAAGTACCAGTGTAGAAAAAAAGTGCGCATTTACGCTCCTACTGTGTTTTACTGATGTTGAGTAACTACGGCTGCATGGTATCGATGCTGACTCATGATTGTTGCATGACATTGGTGTTGAGAAATAACAGCGGAATTCGCAAAAATATTGATTGAAAAATTATTAAAAATAGTATCAAATAGAGGACTGCCCGAGTAAAGTTCAGGAAAAAACGGTAGACTCTATTTCCAAAAAGGTATCGAACTCAATTTCTGGGAACTAAAGATTTGGGTATTGTGACCTGTTTATTAAAACTATTGTGTACCGAACGACTTACATAAACACACAAAATTACACGAAGTTAGACATCAAGATAAGTCCATACTAATTCAATTGGGTTGTGTATTGAGCTCGCATGAATGCGATGAGATTTCGGTTAATATTAGTCAACAGACATTTGAGAATATGTCCGATACATATAATGTTGAAAAGAGAAACAATTCGAGATTAATCATCATGGATGATCGATTGGCTGAAGAACTTTGGCGGCACCTACAACTTAGTGATAAGTTAGCGAAATTGTTACAAAATAGAAAACCGTTGAGTTTCAATGTACAATGTGAATGGGAAGTGAGTGGCGTTAATGTAGCAATGCGATTAAATAAATATAGGAAAGATGAACATTTTTCACCGCATAAAGATGCTCACTCCGGAATAAAAGGGTGTCATATGAAACCATTTATGATTCTAGCCAAGATACTGACCTTTTAAGATTTTACTCGCTCATTAATAAACCATCGAGGGTTCTAGCTAGTTTAAAGAACCATCTCAGATGCTCAATAGTTCCGGATGTTTGAAAAGGTTCCGTCCTGGACCATGTTTTTTAATGCTGAACCATTTTTCCAAAGATTATTCTGACTTGAAACAAGATACTATATTTTTGGGAGGTGATTTAAGTAATATAGATCACAAATAAGTTATTGAGATCGAGGAATCCGAATCCTTCATCATTTTTTCGATGGGATGCAACAGTTGAATGGTAGACCTGAGTAGTTGTGTCTCCAAAATGAATTCAATAATTATAGTGGTACCTTTTCAAGTGTGATTGTTCTTTTATCTTTTTCGTTATGTCAAATGTATGAATAGACAGGTAATGTCAATTTGATAAAATGAATTCAAGATTTTCTGTAGTTAGGAATGTATGAATAATCAATTCACATGCAAGTTTAGTATGATAAAATGAATTAGCGTTTTTTTAATATTTTAGGTATATGCGAATAATTTATTTAATGGCAAGTTGCATCTTATAATTGTAACGATAAATATGGGACTCTGTTTAGTTGATGTATTTAGACAAACTGGATAGAGACGGAGTAGCTTACAGCCACTCATGGCAATGATGTTTATTCGCTTCTTCACATATCCAGAGTGTCACAAGTTCATACATAACACACGTATATATAGAAGAGAGATAGAAGAGAGGCAGAAGAGAGATATATTATAAGAATGGAAAGAGAACAGAAGGAAGAGGAAGGAGAACCATAGAAGCGTGCCATCAATAATCGTCACACCCTCCCACTCAGATTAGACGCGCTCCTGAGCGTCTGTACATGATAGATAAATACAACGAAACAAGCGAAAGAAAGAGAAGCAACAAAAAAATTTCATTATTTGACATCAAGTCATAATTACCATCAACAGCAAGATCTTAAATGACGGAATAGATAATACTCGATTCGAAGATAGATATCATAAACATTTACGCCATCACATTATTACACAAAGTCACAAATTTACGACAGCACATCAAAGACACAGTAACAACGAACAGTAATCGAAGTTTGTAAGACATTTAAGATTGACATTTTGAACATGTCCATTATAAGAATTACATTTCAGGCGCACATACAACAGTTATTAAACATCAAAAGGAAACAAGAAATTCATATTAATAATTTTAATCAGGGTACATCAAAAGATTTTTTTTGGGGCACAAACAGAGCAAATTTTTTTTTGTAAAATTCACGAGGCACATATTAGAATCTCATACATAGATTTTAGTTGCCAAAATAATTACTGCTATAGATTCTATAGCTTACAAGGAAAATCGGACCTAGTGCGTAAACGATACCTAGACGATTTCCTTGTCGTTCTTCATAATTACAATCTTTTTGCATATCACGTAACACATAACGATCAGAAAACAAGAACAAAAAAATTCACACTCAGATATTTGATTTTATCAAATGCAGCATGTCAACTTATATAAAAAGAAGAACAGAAACCTTAATATGCCCAAGGGGCGATCCAGAAGAAGAAAAAACATTTGACGCGCTTCATCACTATCTTATAATCTTAAAGATAATAAATTTTATTATACCAATACTTTCTGTTGTCTAGATATATCTGACAATTACGCATCGTTGGTCATTGAAACAGTCCGTTGGTGATGCAAAGATGGTGAATTGATAATTGATGAATTGACATTGCTTACTGCCGATACGCAACTACGTTCATTGTTATCAACATCAGCTTGTAATAACAGGAACGGAAAAAAATATGAATGAGATAGAGAAGAATGAAGAGATTTGAGAAGAAGAGACATGAAACGTACAGATGGTACAAAGGAAAGTGCGCCACACCTACGCACTGCCGACCCGAACACAGTCGCCCTTTAGTACGTTTACTGATGTCCTGTAACACTGTTGATTGCTTAATACTGGGGAGTGTTCAGTACTTTAGCCATCAAACAGTGCCATGTCCTTCAACTCTCTTCTTTGCATACCTTCCTAACTTCAATCAATAGTATTTACCGCCCATTGTCGTTGAATTTCATTTTTCACTGATGAACCATGATGTTGAATTGTTATTGGTTCTCTTAAGGACCGATTTCGATTCAGAATTTGTCAGGATTCAATAGCCAGGGCCGAGATGTAATGACCGAGGCCTGTCAGGGTCGCCATGTAACGATAAACAATAAGGACCCTGTTTCGGGGT